AAACACACACACACACACACACACACACACACACACACATCAATCTTATGTGTCTTCTCAGAATTTTCAGCTGGATTTTTTGACTTCTCATCTGCTGATCCATAATTCTCAATGTAATGTTCCATAGTTCTTCCCAGGAAAATTTTGACTGTAGGTGCTGGATTATTTCGATCAATGTGCTATCTGCGTACAGACATTCATCACAAAAAGGAATTACTCATTCCTGGAAACAGATGCCAAACCCCTAATTTAAAAACATCAAGTGAGTAATTCCCAAAGCATTTTTTTCTCCTTCAAATCCAAAACATTTTAATTACCTTGGAATAAACAAAGAGCCTTGCAAAGCTAACTCAAATTGTTTATTTAAACTTCACCATCTCCTACATGCTATGGGTTTCCACCTGCTCCCAAAGTTCTTCATGACTTGAGTGAACCTTTATTTAAACTACCCACTCATGTGGTTTAAAGAGAATAAACTTTGAACCCATTTCTAGTCCTCAATTGGCCCAAAAGAGAATGCAGAAATAAACAATGCCTTACATCTCTTTCCTTAAATGTGTATTGACTGGATCCAAATGCCAGACTTCCTACCTACAGCTACATATTCAATTGTACAAGAAAACAAAGAAAAGCAAATAGTTTGAAGGACTGAATCAGTGCTCTCTCTACTGAACCATTTGATTTAGTAGTGTTGTGTCTGATAAGCAAAACACATTTCCATTGCCAGATGAAGCTGCTTACAAGAGCAAAGGCACAGGGAGCTAAAAGTGTTGCACATACAGTAGCAAATAGTACAAACGTGTTGACAGAGTAGTTTCAAACATATGTAGAGCCTACCCATCAACTACAGGTGCAAACAAAAAGGCCTCTGCCTGCCCTCAGGGAGTGATGAGACCATGTGTCACTGTAGAGCTACTGCTGCTTGGAAGCAGCTGAATACTGGAAACCAACCAAGAACTGTTTACCAGACAGACAAGTAGCACTGAACACAATCTCTACACCAGCCACAGTTCTCTTTATTGTTCCAATCCCTTGAGATTAAATAGAATTTAGTCAGGTCCATTAAATTGCCCCGTGTCAAGGGACAGCCAGGTATTTATACCCTTCATATTTTCAGCAATGAATAATGAGACATGAAATTAAAAAATGAAAAGATCCAGTTTGTGAGGTGAAATTCTTTTCAATCAAAGGATTAATACCTTTCTTTAATTCTGCAAACTGTTCAATTATCTCTTAGGGTTATTTCTTTTATTCTCTCATTCTGGGACTCTTAAGACCTAGTCAGAAAATTTTCTTCCATGTTTCTCTACTGTTCATTTTAAATTTTGAACTTCTTTATCTACCTTTCTGGTCAATTTTTTTCTTTCAGTGTTCTCTTCTAATTTATAATTTCTCATCAGCTGTGTCTACCAGGGCAAGAACAAGGACAGACAAGCCAAGGGTCTAGGGAGCACAATTTAAGAGACTACTCACTCTTGGGCTTCTGCAAGTTGAAAGTTGGCACCTGACAGCCTGTACCTCCTTACATGTTGCACCTGGGTGCCCCTTGCCTAACCCTAGTCTTGGGCCACACATCCACTCCACAGTTTACCTTATCACTTACCATTTTTATTTCAGTGAGTATGCTTTCACTTCCAAGGTTTTTTAGATTGCGATACCTGTTCATTCTTGATTAATAATCCTTTGTTCTCATTTTCACTTTCACTTATGGATGATTCTAAAGTACTTGCCAGCAATTTTTTAATATAAAATGCTACTTTATTTCTACTTTCTTACTTGTAAGTCTACAAATTCTTGAGTCTACAGGCAACTTGTATGACTGAAATTTTCCTTGTTTTTTATCTTTTTTGGAAGTCTTTTGCTGCTAAATTTCCACTGCTGTACAGTGGTTTTAGGGCTGGTGGCTTCACCCTGGTGTTCCAGGTTTATGTCATGAAGCCGCAAGCTAGAATCATGCAGATCAACCACTGGTAGTGCTACATGGTGGGCTACAGCTATGTGTGGCGGGGCTTGTCTGCCATTCTCATGTAGATATCTTTTCCCTAACCCAGAACCACAAGCAATTGGGTCTAATAGAGTTTTTCATGCTCAATTTACTGTTGGAAACTGTAAACACTGATCTCAACTTAATCTGCAAAGCTGGGTTCAAGCATTCTACCATTTGTTGGATGAGCAATGCCTTCATCACCAAATGCCCCTTGAAATTCAGCCACTACTCTATGTGACTTTTCCCAGGAGCCAACTACCTTTAACTTTGGTTCATGACTCTAGGCTTCTGCTATTTCCAGATACTGTATTATCTTCTTCTTTTTTTTTTTTTTACTGTAATGATATTTACAAAAAATAAAGAAATAAATAACTTTTCTTAAAAGAATAATTTCTTTTTGTTAAAAGCCAAGGAGCATAGGAAAATGGATACATATTGAGGATCTACTCCTAAGTGAAATAAATAAGTCACACATGTGTAAATACCAAATAGTTTCTCTGGTGTGAATAAACTGTAATAGTACATAAGATCCTAATGAGATAACTGACACTGTGAAATGGGAAGAAAAGGGCTAAAGGTGTAGGGAAAGTAGGAAGGGTAGGGGAAAGGTAATAAGGAAAAATATGAGAAAATGAAAAATGGAAATAAAATGTTTGTAAATGGGGAGGGGAAGAGGGGGTGAATGGAGGGCAGGGACAAGGAGAAAAAGTGAGAACCAAGACCACCTGTCATGTAAAGGCACAAGATCCCAATAATGAATTTACCTGTAGTGTATACCTAAAGTGTACCAATAAACTCAATAAAAGAAAAAAAAAGCCAAGGAGAATGTATGTTCAGTTTTCCATCACAAAATCTAAAGATAGATAGATTGATCAATTGATTGATTTTTGTGGTATAAGAGGTTGAATGCAGAGCTCCACCACTGAACTACATTCCCAAGTGTTTTTAAATTTTGAGACAGGGCTTCACTAAGTTGCTCAAGCTAGCCTTGAACTTGTGATCCTCCTGCCTCAGCCTCCCCAGTCACTAGGATTATAGGTATACACCACCATTCCCAGCTAAGGGAATTAGTTTTAATAGAATGATTTTATAATCAATAAATCTAAATTCCAGTTTGACAGATCTAAATTGAGTCTCCTAGAAGTAGAGTCTTCCTTCATTTCTAGAAGTCTAGTATAAGTCTTAAGAATTTTTCTTGTTTTGGCTTTTATGTGGAAAAGGCACATCAGTCTACCCTCTCCTGTTTGATTATAGTTATTTCTATTGTTTCCCCTAATTTCGTATTGTGAGATTAGAGTATATTTTCTTAGAGCTGAGCAGTATTTACCTTCTGGAATCTTGTCAAGGCCAGAACATCAGTTACTGATTTTTCGCATGAAAAATATTCATAACAGTTAGTAGCTTGTCTAACAAAACATGTACATGAAAATTATAAGATAATAATAAAAAAATGAAAGATCTGAAACAATTAAAAGCTATCCCATGGTCATGGATTGGAAAGCATAATATAATAAATGAAGCTGGGGATTTAGAGTGATTCTGCTGCCTGCCTCTCAAGCACAAGAGCCCAAGTTCAATCCCCGGTACAAAAAATAAATAAATAAATGAATAGCCCAAACTACTCCATAAACAATACAATTCCTACAAATAATTGTTGAAGGCATAGAAAAACTTATTGTAAATTTTGTATGAGAAGGAAAAAAAAAACTAGACTGACAAAACCGTCTTGAGAAAAAAAAAGTGAAAGGAATTATTGCACTTGGTAATAAAACTTGCTATATATCTATAGTAATCAATATTATATGTTATTAATGAAATAATAGACAGACAGATCAATGGATCAAAATCAAAGAAACCAGAAATAGATTACAGCTGATTTTTTCAGTGTTCAAATGCAGTTCTGACTGGACAATGTTTCCAACAAATTGTGCTGGAACAAAAAGTTCTTAAAATGTAACATTACATTAACATAATATCTATAAACTACAAATGAACTATAACCTAAACCTCATGTTGTATTCAAAATTAATTACACAGGGATCATACATTTAAATGTAAAGCATAAAACTTTAACACAAGAAGAAAAGTCTTCAGAACATAGAGCCAGGTAAAGAATTTTCATGATTCACACCAAAAGCACTATCTGTAAAAGAAAGAATAATAAGTTGAACTTCATCAAAATTTAAGGCATTTGCACTGCAAAAGCTTTTGTCCAGAAGTTGAAAACATAGGCTAAAAACAGAAAATATTCATAACCACATATCTGACAAAGATACACAAGTCTGGTAAGTCCATATAATGGAATGCCACTTAATGATAAGAAGGCATACACTACCAACTTCTGCTACAACCTGGATGACCTTCAAAAGCGTATTTATTGAATGACTCATGCACACAGCATGAAATGACAAACTACAGAAACAGAAAACAGCTTGGTGATTGCCAGGGAACAGTGATGGCACTGTGGTGTATATAATTTCTCTTGTACAGAAAGATTTGTCTTCACAACTCTACATGTGGGGTAAAAGTGCATGAAGACACACACACACACACACACACACACACAAACACATACAACATATGTGAATTCAGATTTTAAAGCATGGTGAAAACTGAATAAGACCTGTAATCTAGTTCACAGTAATGTAGCTATGCCAATTTCCTACCCTTGCTATTGCATGCCAAAATACAATGTGCCATCTTTAGAGAAATCTGGGTGAAGTATACACAGGACTTACATATACAGTTTCTCTGAGTCACAATACCAAGTTCTCTCAAATTACTGGCTGAAAGCAACAATCATTCATTTAGTACACGTTCTGATGAGTTGGAAATGTAAGCTGAGATCACCTGAGCCGTTCTTCAACCACTCACCATCCCAGGAAGCCATGCTTTGTCAGGCAGCTGTTGGTCAGCCGAGTGGCTGCATCTGGGGCTTGGTTCCTGGGGTGCTGTGGATAATTACTGCATTACATGTGGCTCCTATAAAGCAGACCAGCCCCAGCTCACTCACCTGGTGGTAGTTACAGGGCATCAAAGCAGCAACACAGCAAGGTCCAACTCGCAAGCTTTTTACAAGTCCCTGCTTGCATCAAATCACTGTAGCCACATTCTGCAAAGCAAATCATAGAGATAACCCAGACTCAAGGAATAGCGAGTAGATTTTAATGAAGGTGAAAAGAACCAAAAACTATTATGGCTATTATTTTTCAATCTACCATAGCCACATTATATTCCAGAGAGGAGGAAAGAAAAATTTACTTCCTCTCTCTCATTTGCTATAGACCGCTACTCACATATTCCCAATCCTGAATGATAGTGAGGACACATCAAAGGACAATAAAAAATTTTTTTTTCTTCAAGTGTGCATGAGATGGTAGCAGAAAATGTCCCATTCTCAAAGACTTATTCTATAACTCAGAAGGTGTAGAGACTAAAATGATGTGGGTTAGGCCCAATCAATGGGAGGTTGCAGAAAATGAAGATATTAGACCTAAAGCTCCTTGAAGGATACGACCATGTCTAACGGTCCTGGTATTCCTCAAAGATCATATGAGATGTTCGCTCAATATGATTCATTCACTACTAATTCAGTAAGGTTAGTAAGACTGGGAATACAGCCACAACCCCATCTCCCTGCACCAGGTAAGCCAGTACCTACCAATGTAGGAGCCACTTTGGTCAAGGAACAAGAAATCTTTCTGGGCTGGAGATACTATTCATGTGGGTATTTTTTCCTACTTTATACTTGTCTAACATATTATAATTTCCATATATTTGTAAGAGTCATTACTGGACTTACGTAAATTTAGGAAATTAAAGGCCTGGCCCAAATGCTGTTAGTCTCTCCAACTTGAGCCCAAGATGCAGAGATCTGTAAAGAAGCTGACAGCCAACAAACCCAGGCTATAGCAAGGGACCTTTAAATGCCTTGGTGTTTTCAGATTCGGACCAGAACTCAAAGTACACTTCAGATAATATGAAAAAATCCTCAGGCTTATAGAGACCTGAAAACAGAAGATTTCTGGTTGTGCTATGTTACTTGTTAAACTAACCACTTCCTGAAAAATGTGTAAATGTTTGCACCCAAGCAAAGATTTTATTCACTGGAACATATATCAGCTGAAGATTCTTCAAAAAGTAACTGAACTTTGAAGAATCAAATGCCTACTCCTCCAGGGCACACAATCACAAGAATTTACCTGAAGCCCAGGATCTGGGAGCACACTGAGAGAAACATCAAAAGAAATGGTTCTCCTCTAGGGAGGGATGCTTTCTGCGCAGCCCATCTATAGGGCCGTCTCCCATGTCTGCCAGAGCAGAAGGAGTGAGGCTGACCTCGTCCTGGGCGTGGGAATGCCTTTCTGGTGAATTTCGTGTCAGGTGGATGCCAATGTTTGAATGAATGTCAAGGGTGTACTAAGCCAGAAATATTACTCTACAGACTACTCCATGCCCCGTGACTTGGAATTTTATTGAAGAATAGTTATTCTAAGCAGAAAGAAACTTTCATATTGAAAAACAATATATACGAAGTCCTCGAGAAAGTGAAACTAATCTAAATGATTTCATTGCAATGTTCGGTACTCATCAAAGTGTCCCTGTGTCTGGGCCATTATTATTGTACATTCCAAAGTATTTATTACTAAAATAAACCTTCTATCTTTATCACCATGAAAGAATAATTTTAAAGTAATCATGAAGAATCTCATACAGGATTGAAGTTTTATGGTTTGTTTAGATTTTTCTTTTTTTTTTTTTTTTTTTTTTTTTTTTTTTACCGGGGATCACACTCGGGTCCTTGCGCTTGTGAGGCAGTCACCGAACCGCTGATCTAAATCCCTGGCCCTGAAGTTTTATGGTTTGTTTAGTATGTCTTATGCAATATTATGTTTTATACCCTACAACAACAGTCAAATAGGATAGTATTATTAGTTACATTTTACAAATGAGTAAACTGAGGCTCAAAAGTTGAAGGTCACCTACCTGTCAATAGCACAGGGAAAAGGTGCACAATGTTTCTAACTTATTTTCAAATAGTACAGAAAAATTAGAAGATAATCTTTGCCTCCCAGAAGGCAAAAAATCAAAACACAGCAACAATAAAACAAAAACAAAAATGGACATCACAATAGTTTGTAGCATTCTGAAAGATCACATCACATTAATAAACACACTGTATTTTTGAGTCAAATTTTCATGGAGTGAAGAATTAGGGTAAAACCCTAAAATATCTCCTTGAGGGAGCAATAATAAAAAAAGGTTGAAAAATACCAAAAGAGAGCGAGATAGAGAGACAGAGACAGAGAGGAGACAGTGAGAGAGAGAAAGCGAAAGCAAAATTGGTGATCTGGTGTAAAGGAAGGATATACTATATAGGAATTCCATAAACTGTAGAACAAAAGTGGAAATAACACTCAGGTCCCAGGAATTCTCCACAGAGCTTCTCTAGAACACATTGTGTGTACGTGTGTTTATGTGGTTCTGTGACATGTATGTTGGGTCTTCTCACTACTTGAGGATGGTAGTTCTCGCTTGGACCACTTGTGTACTAAGGAGAACATTTTATATGGAAGATGGGGGTATTTTCTAGTTTCACAAAGAAAAGAACAAAACAAAGATTGGAAATAACAATACGTAGGTTAGAACACACACAATGCTTTACTATAAAAGAGTTAGTGGAAAAGTTACTGAGTTGACAATTATCTCACAGAGACTTTTAATGCTTTCAAGAGTACAACTAGGTGCAATCCGTAAAAGGAGAGTTCAAAGGCAAGGAGATGGATTTAAAGAAGTTTTCATTCACTTATTGATGTTTTCAGTGTGCCAGGCACTGTTGGCTCAAAGTAAGATGCACCCTCTCCCTGGACTTCAATGAACTTGCCAAAGAGTAGAATGACTACTTTTCATCTCTCAGTATAATAAAATATTGTCACCCGATTTCAAATTATCAATCTTTGTAACTTTTTTTTCTAACATATCAACTGTTGTGATCATGAATATTTCTATTTTATTACCATTATCACTACACAAGTATCTTTGCAAAATATTTTCTAGCTATCCCAAATAGGTAAAAAGGTCTGCACTCTACATCCTGGTAGCCAGCTGTACTGATGTGGAAAACAGGCACCTTGGGAGCCACACAATTGGTCAGATAATTAGGAGCACCCAAGGCCCTGCTAAAAGTCAAAAGTACAAAATGGCTCTGTGGCCACCACTGCATTCCCCCACCTGAATAATTAATTCAAAATTGCCAATGAGTGGCAATCCAGGCTTTTGTTTTTAATTTCCTTCTGCACTGAAAATAAATAGGACTCGCCACATTTGCAAGCCCATGTGCATGGACTTTTGTACCTATAGCAGACCAGCCTCCATGACAGACAGCGGGGTCACTGCCAAGACTGGGATTTAGTTTCTTTGTTGTTTTTCAGGATACCTTAGCTAACCACAATCCTTTTTCACCATCTCTCTGCAACATGCTTGAACCAGAGTCAAGAGTCCATCCTACAAAATGAACAAGAAAAACAAAAAAGGAAGCAACAAACAAAGAAGGTACCATGGGAAAAAATCAGGGGTTGTAAATATTACTCCCTACATCATTTTTTAAATTTTATATTTTCCTCTTATGACTTCACAAAAATATCCAGCCTCTGGAGACACAGTCTTGTTTAGGAATAACTCTATTGGCTTCCCATTCTGTCCTTCCCACCTAAGAAGATTATGGGATTATTAGCATTAGGTAAATTCCTGTGACTATTCCTAGGGAATAAGGCCAGGGCTTTGGCGTGAGAGAGGGGATGGGGTGTCAAGTGTCTAAGAGGTTTTGAGTAACTATCCCAGGCCAAGCAGATGGCTTTGGAAGGCCTGTGCCCAAGATGTGATTCGTGTGACTCCTGCCTTCTCAACACTATCTCCACGAACACTCCTTTCCTCCTATACCACAGAAAAATGAATAAAAATGAGTCTCTGATCATTTAAAAGGTGAATTTTCAAAGACAAATCTTTCCTTCCTTGGGGAAAAAAAAAATATATATATATATATCTCAAAAAAGGGCTCAGGGTTGTTCACATTTTCTCTTCCAAAGGGCTCCAAATGTTCTGATGGACAATCTTTATATTCTTCCCCAAGAAACTTCCTATTCACTCCCCCATTATAGCCATTAATAAGCTTTTCAAATTTTCTCAAGTCTTCCAATAGTGGGAATAGCATAATACAGACACAAAAGCATAATACAGATACTGGTCCCCCACACATCCTGGAAAGAGAAAGTTCAACTGGGAAAAAATATTTGGGAAGTAATATTCAGAAGTGAAAATGAATCAGAGCTTGGGGTCAGATATGTAGAGCTACGATCATCAGGCCATAAATTCAAACTTTATTTGGTACTGGGGAAACATTAAATATTAAAATTAAAAAACTCCAGAAAAGTATCTATTTTAGGGAAAAAATAATGACATATCAAAAAGATAAAAAATATGAAAATTCATCAAATATGCATGTTTCCTCTCAAGGATAAACTCTCATGACTGATTGTGCCAGATACAAATCGTTCTTTTATCTGATTCATTCTTGAAAAGAGAGCAAACTATTTAGGAGAATGCAGGTGGATTTTTTTACAACCCATGAAATGACACAATAAGAAAAAAATCTTCAACAACAATTTTATCAAAACAAGAATGTAAAGTCACACAGCTGCCCAGTCCTTCTTTGTACTGACTTTTCATACAGACCTAAGCAGTAAAGCACAACAAAAGAAGAAAGCTACTAAGGTGAGGCATATAGGTGGATTTCTGACCCTTCCTGAATAGTAGGGAATTAGGACCCCGAGACACCTGGAGGAGTGAATGAATAACATGTCTTTTAGACTCTTTCCAACAAATCTCACTTCTGTTCACCAGTTCTTAAGGGAAACAAGTGAATATGACCTCTGCTCCTCATGAGACCCTCAAATTAGGCAGTGGGTATATTCAATCAAGCAAAGATAGGTTTATAAGGTAGAAAGTGGGTCCTCTCATAATTCATGCCGCTACTTCAGAAGAAGCCTGAGAAGCCCTTCCTTTCTCACACCTGCTGCTGGTGTAGGTGGTAAGTCTTATGCACACCCTGGTTAC